TGGCCCGATCGCCGCCTCCCGTCCCTTTCAGGATCTCTGCTACGACAATGAGGATGCTTGCTCATCATCGAAGGCAGCTATCGCAGAAGTGGATAAGCTTGACTTCGTTTTTGTTGATGGGGATAGCCGTCTCCTGCCCTGGTATCCTCGCACGCGCAAGGTGAGCTCTTGTTTCTCGTTAACTACACGAGGATACTGTACTACGTATTGGGGGGTGATGAGCCGCGTGGTGCGACTCAGTATCTTGCAGTAGTCTTATCTGCGATTCTAATGGTGCACGAATCCCGACACACACCAGCGTGAATCGTTTGTGGTACAGCTACGCGTGTGTGTGCACCAGAGGGACAGCAGGCGTGCGAGCGACGATGGTTGTATGTACGGCCACCGTTCAAAATTTTGCACTTTACATGCGGTTGTTTCTTTTCCGTTTTGATGCACATTAGCTAATGCACGTGCACGAAGAAACAAAATGTGAAGTCTTCCCGCTGTGCGGACGCCAACACGCACATCTGGGCATCTGCAAGAAGCACGCATGCGGCATACCCCTGGCGGCGAGCGTATCACACATCACACCGTCGCGAGGTGCACGACCAGCAGCGTGTAGACATAGGATTGTGACACGACAGATGGCAAATATTGCGTCAGGCTCACAACTTGTCCGCCACATTCGTCTCAAGCCTTCCAAGCTTCCCGCCTCAAATGAAAGCAAGCAGTCCAGGATCAACCAAAAACAACAAAGCTGTTGATGGTCATGACGCCATGACTTTGATGCGAAAGGCCCTGCAGCAGCAACAACAACAGCATGCAGGGCACGGCTTTTGCGAAGACAGTCAGTAGCGCGGCGCAAGTACGCAATCTGATCCGATCCCGCGGGGAACCATCCTGATAACGCACCGCAGCAGCAGTAGGCCGTCACGCCCTCGACGGATTCTCTTGATGATGGTAGGTGTGATCTGGACTTGGGAAGGTGTGTTGTTTGTGTGTTCATTGAATTGTGATCATCGGTCTGCACGTTTTGGAGCAGTCGGTTGGACCCACGCAACATCAATGAACACCCGCCAGGTTACACATGGCGCATGCCTACAGTATATCCACGGTGCACAGGTCGTATAGGCCCGGCCTCTCCTGGCTTTCATAGCTGGTCTCAGACCAGCGTCTCAGCGGTGATAACAGCACATTGGTGAAATTGAGAGCGAAGCATCTGATTGAGAGTGAGATTGCGCGATGCGCTGCAGCTGGACTACTGCTGAGAGGTGGAGCTTGCTGTATAGCTTGAATTGAAGGACCAGCCCGTAGCTACAAGCAGATACCCTGGTCATCCGGTGGGAGTCTCTCGATGTGGATTTACAGCGGCGAGCAGAAGCTACAGCAGAGCCCACCGCCCGAGGCCAAACCGCCCTGCGACAGTTTTAGGCCGGAATAGCCAATCTGGGGAAATCTAGCAACTTGTCTAGCTCCTTGCTGCAGCATCCGATGACGATGACACGCATATGCTCGTGACGCTGCTGATGAGACCTTCAACTTGCGCCGCTTCCTGGAAGAGCCCGCCCCCTACTTCCCAAGAAATGTCAAGAGGCGTCTGGACCCGAATATTAATTTTTTTGGCTCTCGCTCTCAATTTCATGCTTCGCTCTCAATTTCACCAATATGTTGTTTGATGCGTTGATTGGTGGTGTTCTTGCGTCTCTGTCGGTGTTTCTTGTGCTAGTTTGATTGGCGCGCGCGCTCGATCGCCGCTTTTGTGCACGCATCTTCGCATGGAAACCCCGGAGTTGGGGAGCAAGATCTCCAACGAGGTTTGGGCACATATGCCAGTGAAGTACGGTCATCGGTTGCCGAAGCACGACCAAACCGGTGTGACGAAGAGCGCCCTTGTTTTCTTCTTCCTCACAAGCGAACAAATCGTCAATCGGTGCCCTATAGATCTCGTTCTGGTTCCACAAGTGGGCTATATCGGCCTCCCGGAAACCAAGTTTTGGGGCCCCTGTATCGCGTGGCGCAACTTTGGCCGATATATAAAGCTCTCCTGGGGACGAAGGGGAAAAATGTCGGGCTTCGCGCTCCGCGACTCATGATGAACAAACTCGTTTTTTGGGCCCCAACGTCACTTGCTTGCAGCCTGTGCTCATTTCCCATGCCACTGATCTTTTCAACGAAAGCAAATCGACCCGCGGGGTCATGCTCAAGATCTCCTCTCCATGTGTGTATACATTGGTGACTTTGACTATTGGCTCGTCCCTCTGGATTGTCATGGAGGCCAACTCAAAGCGAAGTATGACAGTACTCCACGTTCAATACTGCTCAAGTTTTGCAACCTGGAGCGTTCAACTTGAGGACCTCTACTGTGTTAGTCTCGTGTTTCTCGCAAAGGAACCATATCCACGTGTTGTTTTTTAGATGCGAATAAAAGTTTAAGAAAATATACATAAAATCAAAGAGAGACGACTACGTTTTGCGTTAACTTGAGGTACACTCGAAGGGAGCGCAAACGGAGCAGACAGAACGCCACAAGTTTCCCCATGAAACGTTCCAGACCAAGATGGCACATGTCTACATATGATGGCGTTCTATGTATGCAGAGTCATGCCTCACTCCGAGGGATGCCATTTCGGAGCAGAACAGCACTGAAAAAACACGGATGTGGACTTCCGGCGAGATGGCTAGAAACATTTACAGTGCTGCCCTGTCTACATCAGTGAGGTTGAACATTGCGGCAAAACCAATACCAACCGGAGACGAACAACCGTGCCATGTATTGATTTACAAGAACATGCAGCCACCCATGTGGAAGATGAGTTCAGACCTTTCCTACACTTGAGCTGTGTCTGCCCTACGGTGACAAGCTCGTCGCAAATTTCAACTGGGAGACAATCTGTGAGGGCGTCACCACAGCAGTTAGTGCGCAATTACACGCGAGGTTTGCCCCCCCCCCCCTCGTCCCCGACGATTCCACCCCCCACCCCCTACGAGGTTAAGGCTTACATGCATGTTTTACACCGACGAGGCACAGGCGATCTTGATTGTAACTTCCGGCGCCGAATTCAACAAACCTGACTTTTTCGGCAGCTTGTTCTGTTTCTCCGAACCGTCATCGGAGCGAAGAAGTGCCTTTTCGCCGCGGGCCCCGGAGCACACATAGTGTCCTACGTGTGTGCCACGGGCGGCAAGCCCCTGAGAGTCTTAAACGGTGGCGGGAATGGTGGTAGCCTACTCGAGCTATCTTCGCTGCGTCCCGAAGATTTAGGAGGCAGCGGCAAGCCAATGTGTGGTGGAGAGGTGAGTTGAGGTCTTAAATGTTGAGTTGTCGTTCTTGAAAGCATCAGTGTTGGGCCAATCTCTACCTGTAGAAGGCTGTAGAACCAAACCATCCCATCGCATTCAACTTCGCATGTGATATATGTAACCCTCATATTTAGTAAAATGGACAAAAGTGTGTATACCCACGCCATTCTCCGACAAAAGTGGGTACTCGAAAATCCAGCGCGCGCGCACTCCCAAGGCAACCCCCAAACGACTCGAAACCCCATTCTGACAACTGGGCGACACAGCCAGGGACCATACTCAGCACGGGCATCGATTTTTTCCCACGTTCAGGCACACATTCGGCCCTAATACCGCAGAGGCGCGCAAGGCCTCACCAGAGTGCCCACGTCTGTCCGACATCGCGGTGGGTATACCCAGCGGCGTCAACTATTTATTCATGCACCCACTTATGTCTATGTTTCGACCCACTTTGGTCCAAATTGTACCCACTTGTGTCCACCTACGGACGGCGGAAATCGAGCGGAAATCGACCTCCACGTCACCGCACGGCAGAACATCGAATAGCCTCGGAACGTCTCAGAACTTCCTGACACCGTTTCCATGGCATCTTTCCTATCCATGGCTGCCGACTGCGGACCGACCGCGGAGGAACATGTCAGAAACATGCGAGGCCCCTTTAGTATGGCACGGGAGGATACCAGGCACGGGAAGATGCCCGCGGCAAGCCCGGCGAGCAGCGCACTAAGGGCAAAGGCCACAAATAAATGCGTGACACACAACGGACAACAGAACCAACGGGTCGCGCATACAGAACACAAAGACACGCATACAGCAACAACACACACACGCGCGCCACACACACAAAAAAACACCAACCACCACGACGAGTGCACACCGACTCGTGAGCGCAGCAGCAGCATGTCGAGGCAGTTTGCCACGTAACCACATGATGGTATTCATATGCACAACTTATGGTGTATTCCAAGTGAAAATTCGGCTCGATATCCCCTTAAAACCTAACCAATCAAGAGACCAAAACGGATACGTTCGCTACGCTACGTTCGTTCGCTGCTACTTTTATGGATAGTGGGTTAAGGAAGAAATAGGCCGCACATTGCGTACTCCGGAGTAACCATAAGAGTCGGCATACACATGGTGTCATACTTTGTATGCATACGAAGTACTTCGAAGCACTACTAGTTCAGGGGTGCCGCGCTTAGGGTTGCGTGGTAAACTGCCTCGACATGCTGCTGCTGCCCTCACGAGTCGGTGTGCACTCGTCGTGGTGGTTGGTGTTTTTTTGTGTGTGTTGTTGCTGTATGCGTGTCTTTTTGTTCTGGGTGCGCGACCCGTTGGTTCTGTTGTCCGTTGTGTGTCACGCATTTATTTGTGGCCTTTGCCGTTAGTGCGCTGCTTGCCGGGCTTGCCGCGGGCATCGTCCCGTGCCTGGTATCCTCCCGTGCCATACCAAAGGGGCCTCGCATGTTTCTGACATGTTCCTCCGCGGTCGGTCCGCAGTCGGCAGCCATGGATAGGAAAGATGCCATGGAAACGGTGTCAGGAAGTTCTGAGACGTTCCGAGGCTATTCGATGTTCTGCCGTGCGGTGACGTGGAGGTCGATTTCCGCTCGATTTCCGCCGTCCGTAGGTGGACACAAATAGGGTTTTGAGTCGTTTGGGGGTTGCCTCGGGAGTGCGCGCGCGTTGGATTTTCGAGTACCCACTTTTGTCGGAGAATGGCGTGGGTATACCCACTTTTGTTCATTTTCCTTGTATTCATCTGACGTGCAACAACAGAAGTACGCGAGAAAACTTCTGGATATAGCGCATCGTGACTCGATGGCAGTGAAGTTCTGAGTTCTTGCCGGTATGAGAGTCACACAAGCACAGTAGATAAGAATGTCGCCTGAAGGCTTGCCCCCGCCGAAAAGGACCTTTCCTGCCTGCCGTTCGCCGTTTGCAAGTCCCGACATAGTTCTGGTGTGGTCGGGTGGTTGCGTGACTCGAACTCTCATAGGCAACGCTCCTGTTCCTGCACATCATAACGATGCTGTTTGACTTGTCGAGGTGCATGCCCACTGACGTATTTTGCCGAGGTTTGCAACGTCGTCGGCAGACCTGAATGCGTGGTTACGAATACCAAGGCGTTGTAGGAATGCTATTATTCTTCATTTGTGACTGTGTTTCACTGCCTTTCTTGTCGTGTGGACACGGGAATTCACACGGACCCAGCTTGAAGGGAAGAGAAAAACAGCTGACTCAAACCCCGCATATGATTACCGCTCACAGAGGAGAGAGATTGAGCACGCCACACGGAGCATCGCGGGGCGCGGACATACCTCTCCCTACCAAATTCCAAGAGACTTCGCGGATCGGTATCACGACCAAGCAAACCAAACATTCTGTCCCAAAGCGTCCTCGCGTTCTTGAACACATGACTTCCTGATCTCGCGGAGAGAAAACGTTTACTTCGTCCGTCGGCGGTCCACCGAACTCCTTGAAAACATTTCCCGCTGCCACGAAGCGCAAAATGAGCATGTCCAAGGACCTTCCAGCCTAAACACGCGAATTTTTGACTAGCCACCCGTCGGTATGAACTTGGCATAAGCTCTGAATCCTGTCGCACCTCACTGTGTCCTCCGTGCCCTTTCGTTGGCACAACTCGCGCAACAATAACCACAGGCAAAAGAAGTTGTGCTTGACTCAGCCACCGGGGACTTCTATGTGTTTGATTTCAAGACGGACCGGTGGGTAGCGGAAGGAAACGTGGGGATCCAGAAGAGCTGCGGTGGAATGGGAGGGATCGCTGCCGCAATTCTGGCGGATGCAGCCGGTGGACAGGGTCACGGTTGTGAGCAAAAGGTATTGCGCGCCGCACGCCTTCGTTCTCGTAGAAAACCAAAGTACATCCGTGAGGGTGCATTGTAAGTTTAAGGTTGAAGCGAGCTCGATCCAGGTTCGCACAGCTCAGAAAATCTTCACTTATCTTGCAGAAACACATTGCTCCCCCCTTGGACAGATGTAGGTTCTGCTTGCAGCACACCGTCGGGACCCTTTCTCTTGCTAACGCAGCTGGTACATCAATTCCTCTTGGTGCCCTGTGCGTTTACTTCTCTGCAATGTCCGTACCTCCGCTTTGTGCGTGGGTAAGTTTCCTGTCAACGAGCTGCTCGGGGTGAGACGCAGCATCCAGAGCGCAGCGGACATCAGCTCGAAGACACTGCAACGCCCGAAGACCCCCAGGAGAGTACACGAACCAGATGTTGCTGTCGTTCTCGGCCAGGCTCACCGACAAACGGGCCACAGTCTCAGCAAAGCCAGCGCCATTGTACCATGGCAACTCTTGGCGACGCAACACGGACGTAAATGTAGTCTTGTCTTGTTCTTGTAGGTAGGGAAGAGATACCTGACACGTTTGGCACTGGGCTGACCACACACCCGATACGTGGCTGGTGCCACGTCGGTCTTGTTACACCCCTCGACAGGTTTCAGAGCGAGGTGCTCGTCCGAGTGCGTCCGAAGAGCGTCCAACATCGCTTCTTGAAGCACGTGCACTGCGGCGAGTTTCTCGCGTGGAGCCCGGGGAAGTGGAGCATCGGCGAAGCAACCGCGGCGCGCTGCAGACAGACTTTCACCGTGCTGGCCGCGTCGAACAGGGCAGGGCCAGAGGTGGTAGAGATCGGCAACTGCTTGGCCACCAGGCATGTATGATCCTGCCTTTAAACCCTCTTTCTCTCGCCAGAAGAAACGGGCAGACACTAGGCCCAGGTCAATGCGTTGGTGGTAGAGTATCAACAATGAAAGCTTTTCTCCGGATAGGGGTGTTCCGTGCCTCTGCTTTAATCCCGAGCGCTCATGAGGTCAAAAATAACTACATCGAGTGTAGGTACATCTTGAAGCTACAGTCTCTAGGATTGAATAGCCTTTGAAGTTGGTACAGTATCAACAATGAAAGCTTTCTCTCGGGATGAGGGTCTCCCGTGCCTCTGCATGAATCCTGAGCGCTCATGAGGTCAATGTAACAACGTCTTATCGCTACAGCATAATAGCTACTTCTACAATCTACAGGATTGAATAGCCTTTGAAGTGGGCGTGCCTGTTCGCCGGCCTCGCAAGGCTGTTTGTCGACGATGCTGCATGATCGGGTTTCGTCTACTGAACCAGATTTAATGTTCGGCACGGGTACCAGCACTCAACTAGTCTACTGCGGGCGTTCGTGGAGGACAAGCACATCCTTATCAGGGACGAAAAGTGAGCTCCTACAACACCTACGCCCTACGATGTCGAAGGACTAACGTCCCCTAGGATTGCGTGGAAACACACGGCCAACTACAAGCGATTACCCTCAAACTTCTTGCCGACATTCCTGAGACATCTCCGTCTCGCACCACCAATGCTGAGGCACGACCGGCACGTAATTTCTCGCCAAGCGTGCATGCTCATCTGCATGGATACACCGGCACCTTGGTCCCAACCCAGCGAATAGTGCCGATACCCCGAGGTTGCTCTTAAGAGCCCTTCTCCATCGGTTCCTCGTTTCCTGGCACCCATGTTGCCTTTGCCTCCCCCTTTTCTTGAAAGCCGGATAGATCGAGGGAGCGAGTTCGTGATGAACGGGATGCAGACAGCCGACGACTTCGACGGTATGTCCGTCAGGAGTTCTCACAAGCAAGCGGCGGCGGCGGCAGAAGTAAGAGCCGAACCCGAACCGCTGCTGTAGTAAGTGGCCCGACATGACACCACCCTGCATAGAGCGCGGTAACCAACCTCCCATGCCTCCTTACACACCATCCGTTTCAAGTGTGGTATTAGCTGAATAGCATTCTGCTGAGTGTGAAGACTACAGAGCTCTGTCGCGCCGCGTCTTGACGATATGGTCCCCGTGTGTCCTCTCGCGGATACACGTGGTCATTTTCTTTGCCACGTTACCTCCCCAACTTTATGTTTTCGCTACCGTACACGGTGTGTCCGTGCTTCGGTACTGCTACCCCGTCGATGCGGCACGTGGTTATCGGTAGGCTGCCACCGGGTACGCATCAGAGAGAGCATTATCAAGGCGGCGTCTGCCCCAGGATAAAAACAGAGGTGAGCGGTCGTTGGTGAAACATAGCAATCCAGCGGGTACGCGCCCAAAATGAAGAGGTGAGTCACGACAGTACGAAAAATGCATCACGAGGTAGTCGAAAATGTGTGACATGCGGCGCCCGTTATGTCAAGCGCCCCTAGCAATCAGGGAGGAGAAGGGCGAGTGTCGGCTGAGTCCAGAGTGCAACGCGGTACCATGATTTTTCAGACATTTGTGAATGCGTAACAGATCGTCTTAACAATCTGCTCAGCGATCACATTTCCCTCTTGCCATGCACGACGAAAAATGATAACCCATTCCACAGAGGCGACGACCACTCCTTGCAAGAGGGCCGTTCCGTTTCCCCGTCGACCACAGCCGGGGGAGAAGCCGCGCTTTGCCCCACCGCAATCCACCAGAGCGATTCGAGTTTCTTCTGCCACCTCGGAAAGGCGTGGGAGGACGACGGAAAATGACCCATCGGTTTTGGTCGGCAACGCCACTCGTATCGGCGGGGAGGCTACGGGTGGGGGATGCGGTGGTGATGATAGTCACTGCGGGGCCCGGGCAACAGGATTGGTGCGAAATTACTCTCTCGTTGGTGTTGCCCCGTGTAAGAAAGGTTTTGGGTACCTTGTTTGTTGGCAAACGGGCAAGCGGCCTGCGTGCTACCTGTGGTGGGACCACTTGAATCAACAACAGCAGGCTTCCGGTTGGAGGATACTCTTGTAGACTTAAAGAGTGTTTCTTGTCGCTAGAAGAGGATCTTGACGCTGTAGAAAGAAGTCGATACTGAGAAAGGTGCACTCAACGATCTACCCCCTCCCACGTAGCAGGGTGATGATGTCGATACGGGGGTGCACGGTGGTGGACAACGCCAGGGCAGCACAACCGCGGCGAATCCAGTCGGACGACGACGCGTGCTGATAGCGAGGTTGGGAGAGGGACTCGGACTCGATCTGTCCCCGGCGATTGACGCCCTGCTCCATAGAGAAGAACACCTCCGTGTAAGCACGTATGTAGACCGAATATAGGGTTGAGGAGGACAAAGTAGACTACAACACAACAGATGAGGCGACAGGTTCCCGAGTCGCATTTTGGCTCGTCAGGAGACATCCCAGAAGCCTTAGACGAAAACACGCCAGCATCAAGGATGCCGGTTAGCACGGTAACAGATCAGCATTTAGTTAGAACACGTAACCGTTCGGCCGGCCACCAGAGGCTCCTCTATGCGATAACCGACCTACCCCTCAACACAATTCTTCGTCCGTGTCGTGTGTGCAGAAAACGCGTGGTTGCAGGGGGAAAATATCCACCAGTCACACACAACTAGAAATGCACAAATAGTGCCATCACGTCAGCAGTCGCATATGCCAGCAAGTGAACTCAACCAGCGTCACTAGTGACAGCCAGCACCAGGCACGTGTAGGAGCGGTTTTTTCAAAAACCAACTCTGTTGCATCCTTCGGTTCAAAACACGATTGTGCGTCGGGACGAAGCGACCAGAATCCTTGCACGTACTCGTGTCTAACGTGTCCTCACATCCCCAGCAGTCCCGAGCCAAATGTGCTTTGACGGATATCATTATCAAGAAGGGTGCTGGTCACCTCCGTGCCGTCTTTCCCAGCCTTTCGATGGTTTTCGTGCGTTCCTTCCTCTCCGTAAAACCGTACCTTGCCCTCGAACATGTACTTACCAGGGAACCACTGGCGAGTCTACGCTCCCTCGAGGAACGGAGGACGATGCTGACCGCCGTCATGATGAGCAAGGGAAAATACAGAGGCAGCAAAAACAGCATCATCCACAACATGATACAGGCGGGGGCAGTGCCGAAAATGGCACGACCAGAACCAGAGACGATGATACGCTGTCCCGGGTGAGGTCGCCTGAGAACACCTCAGAACCCGCTTCGTGCAACAGGTCAAGAAAGGTTCGCTCCGTCGCGGGCGGTGGAGGGGAGAGACGTCGGGATGTGGCGATGGGATCGGTGGTCAGGGTCCCCGGGCAAGAGCGCAGAAGGCCTTACAATAGCTTCGATCGCTTCAGGAAGGTAAGTGGAAGCAGTATCACAGGATAATCTTCGAAGAAGCGGAGCGCTATTTTCGAGTGCGGAGGGTGGTGAGCGTCAAGTTTCCTCCCGCGGAAGTCTACTGAAGTTCGCACGTGTGTGGTAACTCCGCGCTCGATTGCGTTCATTTATCGGAGCGGTTGAAATACTCTTAGCCGGCAGTGCAGTCACCACGCTGTAATTCTTAAAGCTACTGATCAAGAACACAATCTATTCGTAGGGAGAGACGTGGCCATTTGACAAGCTGTCCCTTGCGGAGTTAAAATGCCCGCCGGTCGCAATCCGGAACGCTTGCGAATTGTGCCCAACTCGGCCTACTAGGGGGTACATACGAGCAGATTCATCGCAACGTATGGCGCGCTCACTGGTCCATTTCCCGTGAGGGAGTAGAGTCCATATCTAAGCGATGCACTTCGTCCGGCCCGTCTTCCGTCGTCAATGGCGGTTCTTCGTTCCATACAACCGTATCACGGCATTGACCAGATGGAACGAGAAACGCGGAACGTGTTCTTCTCGCTGGGGTGCGGCAGCGGCAGCGGAAAAGGCTGCGAAGGGGTAGCTGGTAAAAACAAGGCTCGTGATACATCGCGAGGCGCCGGGGCTGATGGCAACGCTATCAATGTCAAGCGATTTTCGGCCAATTTTGGGAGAAAGGAAGCGTGGACCCCAATGTCAGAACCGGAGATCAGAACGCAAGGTAGGCTTCGCTGCAAACATCGCTGGCGCAGTGCGCTCGTAACACTCTGTACAACGTGCACCAGTGTGGCGCCATTTACCTCACAACTGATGTCGATCGCCAACAAGCACTCACTGACTCTGCAACCGATTGTCGATTGCTCTCCGGCCGTCTTCTCAGGCCCCTACTTGGGTAAGAACGGGTGTGCGTCGTCTACAAAGACCACAAGCTTGAACCCAAGGCACTTGTTGACGAACCCCAGGCGCTGGAAGTTTTCCGGTTCGAAGGTAGGCAACGTGGTCCTGCGGCAAGCTATAAAACTGTAGAGAGGACGCGAGTTCCAGAATGTACACGACGTACCGGCTTCTTGTGTACTTGTGTGTTACTGTAGCGGCTGTAGAATGCTCCGGAATTGCAGATATCCTTGACCGCGTTGTTGGTGTTTTCTATCGTGGGTTGTGCGTATGGATGGAACGCGCAGACCTAGGCTGTCCGGTTTGGGCGTGGTTTGCACGTCATCATCATGTCGTTTCCTCCCGTTTTCTTGGCGAACCTCTGAATGGCCCCGATGAGATTGTCTTTCCAAGCGTGGCGAGCCCTGACTACTACTGTGTTTTGCCCCTAGCACCATCGCGGCAGAATGACGAAGTCGCGAAATTGGACATGCGACTGCCTCTGGCGTCAAAGAAGGTTGCGGAGCCGACAAGACGTGCACGAAATCATGTGTGCCAAGGCAGTCATCATCATGTCTCATCGCCGCGCCCTCGCCTTTTCGTTTTTTCGCATTGTCTCCGTCATCTCCAACCGACTATTGTACGTTGCCAAGACGCGGGGGTGGTCAGGCATAGGAGAAGGGACTGGCTTTACAAGGGGTCCGGTCTAGCAAGACGGCACTGAGCCTCTACATCCGGCATTATCCGATATGAGGGTAGGACTATGACCCACCGATCGATTGCGCTCGTGCGTGGCAGCAAAAGGAGAAACCGATGCGAGTATGCACGTGATCGCCTCCGGAACTCTCGGCGGAGGAAACCGAGACTGCTTGTGCCGAAAAAAGGCAGAAAACAAAATTGATCAAAATCTCTCTTCGAAACAACTGTGTCCGCTCTGATATCCACGTGCTTTGCTTTTGAGCAAGTTGTGGAGGTGTTCGAACTACACGTCACCACCGGATGAACAAAATAACACGACCATACAAACACCGAGCAAAAACAAGCCCAGAACAAGACTAGACACCAAGAAACACCGACACTCTACAACGAACATGGAATACAAAAGCCGGGTACGCTTTGGGATGTTCGCTGCGCGCTCGCAACGCATACAATCTGCTCTAGCGTCTCTACATGGCATAAAAACGAAGCTACGTTTCGACGTTGTATCTATCCAAACCAAAATCTACCCTGAGATCGAAAACGGGGGATCCGTGAGCTGCCACCCTGCGTCTTCGATGTAGTGCAGAATGGTGTTCCAAGCCTTGCCGTACTGCCCCCGCAGGATGCCGATGTCAGGGTGCAGCTCGTGCTCGCACACTAAGAGCAGGTTGTCAAAGAAGAGCGCCGACATGTCGTCCTCCGGGGAGACCAGGTCGTCCTTCTGCGCGATCAATCTTTGCCGCAGGGCCTCGGCCCTCTCCTTCTCGTTGGTTGGGTTGCCGTCCAGGATGGTGCGGACGACGTCGTTGCACGCGATGTTCAACTGCTTGCTCCTCGCCGCCTCTTGTCGTGCTGCCGCCAAGCTTGCCTCCTGCGTTGGTTGTTCGCGGACCTGCTCGTTACTATCATCGGCCGTCGCCTGCACGTGACGTGAACAAACGATTGCGGTGGATGGTGTGTTCACTGGATGGCGTGACATGTATTCGGCGGTGCTCTCTGATGGAAGCCTTCATACGTCTGAAAAATGCGGTCTACGCAAACGGTAGACTCGTCTTGGGCACACTGCATGCACCTGCTGTGTGTTTCCGTTTCTTGTAGTTGGGTATCTTATTTCGTCTAGAGGACAGCGAGGAAGGGTGTGGGGGCCCGAAGACATGCTGTTGCCAGAGAGCTCCAACTCTTGTATCTAAAACAGCGAAGCATGTCTTATGCTTGCGAGCGCATCGAAAGCTTAGCACCGCCTTGTATGTTGTACTGCGAGTAAACAACAGTGTAATTTTCACGACGACGGCCACGTAAGCACCCCTGCAAAGCGGACACGGGAGAGGGATGCTAAACCGGCCCCCTGACCGGCTCAAACAACGAACCGGTCGCCCGTAGTCTAGTGGTACCTCGTTAACCGCTAGTGGCAGAGGTCGTGCGTTCGAATCCCCATGGGGCGAAACATGTACAAAATTTGCGGGTAAAAGCGAAATATAGCTGAAAAGTTCTCGTGTGTACCAAAGTTCGACGTTAGCACCGTTGACGAGGGAAAGGGACGGCTGGACCCTTCTCGCGATAAAAATGAAATTCAGCACGCACCGCAGCAGGAAGGTGGGGCATGAAAAGTAATCAAACGAAGAAAAAAAGCCCTGGGGTTTACCCTCTCCTGTGTGACCCTGGAAGATTGTAATTGTACGGAAAAAAAACACTGAAACGTGTGGTAAAATCGTGGACCCGGTTTAGCGGTCCAAAGTGTCACGAAATTTTATAACCGCTATTCAGGGCATCGCCGCTAGACCTCTGTAGCGGTCATTAACCGCTACACCAGGAGGCTCAATACCGGTCATGAACCGCTAAACCGGGAAAAAGCCCATTTTTGCCCTGCAAGAGCAGCGTCGAAAGCCCACCTTGATAGGGTCACGTGTCTCACTGCAGCAGCCATACTAAGGTGCAGATGAAGAAGCAGTGTAGCGAGCCATAGAAGGACAAAACGTGCACGTACATCAATTAGTGCATTTTCACTCGCCAAAGCACCAAGTTTATTCTCCCTTCTGGACTGTATGCCCCTCATCAAGACTGGAACATCGTTCGCGTCTCTGACGAAGTGGAGGTGATGAGACAAACTTGTGACAACGCAATGGCAACCAACCAGCACGTGCTTGAGCATCTCATTTCTGCCATGTGTCGCGTATCGACAATTCTTAACCCAACATAATCTCTCTGATATTTGCCTTACGCGCTGGTTGAGCGGCGCGCGCTGCGAGGAACGCCATTTTTGCCTTGCGAAAATAGTGTGCTGCTTCGCTTACGCCACACGACTCCGTGCTCTCCACGCTGGCCAATATCCGATGATAGCTCCGAGTATGAATGGTGGCGGCGCCATCACCCCCCTGCGCTTCGAACCACTTGCCGCGGTATCTAGCCCTAGCTCTAGGTCGTCGTCGGAGGGGTTAGGCCCCCGTCCATGTATATACATACGGACAATTTTCAACAAACTCGTCATTCGCGTCCTTATGCAAACCTTGGGCGATCTCTGTCTGTGCGCACTATTTCCGAGTGCGCTACCTTTTGGTCAAGAAGCTTCAAAACCTCGAGCTTCTAGCCAAAGTAGAGGCGGGTGTGGAGTTGTTGTGTAGCTGCAGCGCGAGTTGCTTCTTTCCGCGCGCCTGGTGCTAGAAAGCCACCTTCCACCTCTTGGCGCTTGGACGGATTTGAGACGCAAGGAGAACTCCGCGCCTTCTTGGTTGCACGCCGGATGCATCTCGTTGTCATCCGGATCCTCCACCTCCCCACACATGATGTGTATGCGGCCGCCACAGCAACGTTCACAATCGTGCGTGCCGCTTGGACTCGGTGCCGCATCTAGAAGCTTGCACACTTCTCCGTTCACGCGCCGCATGGTGTGTATCTTTATTATTGGCATGGACCGCGCTAACCGGCTGACCAATGAAAAGACGTCGTTACCAGTCTCAGTGCGGTTGAAAACACAAAACACTTCTCTATGCCATTAACTGGGACCCCGTGAGGGGGGGGCATGGGGGAGGCAAAAGCTATTCTCCAGATTAAGGACAGAAACGGTAGCAACAGAGGAAAACTGCTACCTTGCACTCGAGTTCGTTTTGGAGTACTTTCACCATCATCCGCCTTGCTTTCACCATCACTCTCATCGTCGTTCTTACAGCAATTTTTCGGCGATTCTTCCTCTAGCCCTGCGTCGTTTGGTGTGTGTGTGTCGCTGTGTCCTTTTTATGATGAGCATCGACCAGCTAACAGCCTGACCAATGTCGCTGTGCTTTGAGTATGTGCAAGCGAAGCGCGCACTAGGTCAAAAATTGAACCGATAGCCGCTATTGGTGTCTGAAAACATGTCCAATAACCGCTATTGAGGGCACGACCGGTTCAGCGGTTGTATAACCACTAAACCGAGGTGCAGCCGTGTCACGAGATTTTATGACCGCTATTCAGGGCATCCCGCTAAACAGGGAACCGCTAAACCGGACCCACGACTGTAACCGCTATTGAGGGAGCGACCGGTTCAGCGGTTGTATAACCGCTAAACCGGGGTGCAGCCGTGTCACGAGGTTTTATAACCGCTATTCAGGGCATCCCGCTAAACAGGGAACTGCTAAAGCGGGCCCACGACTGCACTCTACATACGCTGAAAAGTGTAGTACATGTCTCACCACGAACAATGGGTGGACTGTCGCAATAATAAGTAGGACGAAAACACACACACGCGCACACACACAGTTTTTCAACCCTTGGCCAATTCGTGTGAGATCACCACTTCCACCACGCACGCTGCGTGCGTGGTGGAAGGTAATAGCAGCAGCAGCGGTAGACTGATGGACTGACGTGGAATCGCTTTGCACTGGAGCCTCCAGTCGCATCGGCGATGAGTGGTGTCATGAAACGAGATTGGCACTGCCATCACCCGCACCTGGACCTGCGCCACGATGCCCAACTGTGTCCCCTCTGCATCAGCGAAGGATCAACGAACCTGACGGCGAGGAATCTGGCTACACACCAAAAACGTCAGCATGAAGGTCGAGGAAAGGAGGTACTACTCAGTTTGTATAATCCTGGATCCTTACGCTCAAGCAGCCAAGCACCTGGTTACGCCGCATGTGGCACATGCGGCGAACTTTTCTCTCCACGCACCAAGTATTGTTGCGAATCAGGTACTACATCGTCTCCATCTCTCTCTGGGTCGTTGCAGTCATCGCAAGACGATGATGACGACAGGCGGCAACTCCTATCACCGTGGGACCTCAACGACGTCAGCAGTGCCCTGGATCAGGTTCGACAAGATACTTGATGAAAAGTCTTTTTTTTCAACAGTCAAACACGTCGATCCGCAACTGGCAAAAGCATTTTGCAAACACTTCCAACATGTCGTCATCCTCTTCGTGCAAGCATTTGGAGCTGTACACATGGATCAGCAGAAGTCAGATACCTCAGATCTGTCTCCTCTTGCAGCGGAAAGATATGAAGTAGCACGTGTTGAAAGACAACTCCAACTTGTCCGAGCAACAAAGTTGCTTCATCTTACCCCAGCATTGCATGGATCGACTGATGGAAGGATGAACAGGGTATCCCGATTTAACCGCTTTGCAAATGGTGATCTGAGTGAACCTATCGCCTGGCTCATGATGTACGAGAAGAATCGTCGACTACATTATTAAGCGGATAATGAAGACAATCGCCAAAGAAGAGCAACAAGACTTGCGCATGAAAGAGGGGGCATCACGAAAGCTGCCAGTGCCTTAATCACCTTCACCGCGCAACAACGACACGCTGGATCATCTTCGCAACCTACACCCTAACGAAGATCCTGACGGTATTGCTACTGCATGGGATTCCAGCATCAAAGCTGATGAACCATTCGAAATCAAAGTATCAAGCGGACGGTAAAGAAAGCCAACCCTCATAGTGCTCCGGGGCCTGATGGTCTTCGTTTTCCGTATCTCCAAGCTGGTGGAACGATTGATTTTTTTACTGAAACCTTGGCGGACTTCAGCTTTAAAGTAAACTACTACGGAGACGAGCTTCCGGATTTCTTTTGGAACCTCCACACCAGTGCCGACCTTCAGCGCTGGGAGAGAAAAAAAGGCCGACTGTAGTTGAGGGGTTTTGCGTCGCATCATCAGCGGCAGCTTCTGCCGCCCGTACACGGGAGGGATTGCTAACATCTTCGAAGCAGCAAATCAGTTCGGAGGTGGTGTTTCAGGAGGAGTTGAGATAGTGGCTTCCACAGCAGCCCTCAGCCACCAGCAAGGCAGCACCATTCTCTCCTTTGATGGGAAAAATTCTTACAACAGCATGCGGAGATCTTCCATCTTGCCAGCAGTGGCCTCTCTTACGCCACACTTGGTGAAGTACTTCGGGAACATCTACGCTCGAACCAAGGCGAAACTTCTGTTCAAAATGGAAGATGGTTCGATCGAGGTTGTTCTTTCACAGCGCGGAGTTCAACAAGGCTGCAATTTGGGAGGGTTTGGCTTCTGAGTAGGACTCCTTGATATAGAGTCAACAACAAGCCACCAGTGCCAGGAGACGAACTCATCGGATACGTCGACGACCTCCAAGCACATCTTCCACCAGGTTTGGCTAGGAACATGCAGGCCATATCCGCTGTAACGAATCGGATTCAGGAACGTCTCTACCAAAAAAGGATTGAGCTCAGTCTCCCGAGATCCAAAGTGCTTTTCCCGGAAGGTCTTTGCATGTCCTCTTTGACAAACGACGAACAGCAACAATTGACGAAAATTGGTCTGTCAGTTGCTGAAGGTGGCATGCCAGTTGTCGGGATCCCAGTAGGAACAGAGGAGTTCCAGAGGAATTTCGTTTCCAAAATCGCCCGTGGTGACCCGGCGGAATTGATACTCCGCCTAGCAACGCTTGACGACCCTCAAGCCAGCTATCAACTNAAGTAGGGACAGAAGAGTTCCAGAGGAATATCGTTTCCAACTTAGCCCGTGGTGACCCGGCGGAATCGATTCTCCACCTAGTAACGCTTGACGACGCTCGAGCTAGCTATCAACTGCTGCGTTTATCTGGTGTGCCGCGTTTGTTCCATCTGCTGAGGCCGATTGCACCGTCGATCACCAACTCTGCCGCAAAAGTACATGACAACATGACGATGTGGGCAATGAGTAAGATCGTCCTTGGCAAGATGGTTGACAGCATGAGAATACCAACGGACAAAGAAGTACGCGCAGACCCGACGAAGAGCGAGGAGGTAGATTTCTTCAAAGGACAGCTCGGGCACAGGTGCACCTACCCATGCGTGAAGGAGGACTAGAGCAATATTCTCATTCGAGTATCGGCTTTGTGGCAGGGCAAGAGCTGGTGTTCTCCAAGTCAGTGCACGCAGCAACAGGATACACAGTTGAGCAATGTCTACCCTGGCTTGCCCAGCTACCGACAGGATTGGCTCTGATTGACTCACTCAAGAAGCTAGAGGAGATCATCACCAAAGACAAGCTTGAAAAAGCTGTTGGGCAGTCATGGGCTAAACTTGCCAAGGGTGATGAGTTAACCCCCGCCCTCATAGGAGTTTACCTGTTGGAAACAGGGAAGGCGGGAAAACCCAGTGAAGATGGAAACCCTGACGTAGAACATCAACCACAGTCCACCTACAGCCGAAATGAATTTGATCAACACTACCAAGTCTTTGGAGCCGAAGCTCTCCTTTCGAAACCTCTTCATGCAGCAGTGCGTCACATGGTGGAGACAGACTTGCAGAAAGTAGTAGGCGAGGAAACGCCAAAGAAGAGGGCGTTGATCCGCTTGGAGGAAGCGAAAGGCAAGGGAGTTTTGTCGTGGTTGACAACGCAAGGGTTGTCAGCAGATGAAAGAATGCTGCCTGATCT